AATGTTAGCTTTATCCATTTCAAGCACTCAGTTTTAAATGTTTTGCGAAGGGTTTCTGTATGTTAGACGACTTGACCAGTCTAATTTTTTCTCTCATTTAAATGACTGGTAAATTAATCACCAGGTACATAACTAGTATATGCAAACCATCAGCAGAGCACATGTGCCATCACTTTTTAGTGGCTATGCAGTGCATGTTCAGCCTATGGCAGAGTGAGTCACAAGCAAAACAAGGCGTCGAGCTTGTGTTTCAGGATTGTGCTCTATATAGATTTGTTTTGTTAAAATATTGAACTTCTAATGAGTGGCTCCCAAAACACAGTACAGAATTCTGCAGATGTTTGGACTGCGTGCTGTCATTTATCGGGTACACAATGTGATGAGCAAACAGCCAACAGGACAGCTGATGGACTGCAAATAAGCATCAGAGCGTGCTCCTATAAACAACTTTCATCTCGCTGTTCTGTGATGATTGTGAGATCATTGTCATATAGCTTATTTTATGCCCTGTTGAACACTCAATCCAGGTGTAGGTGTGTGTCTGTGTGTTTGTTTCAAATTTTCTATCAGCAGGTTGTATGCTGCTCCTGGGAGCTCCTCCAAACCTGATGATTAATGTCTTTCCCTGCCAGTACATGCTACCACTGTGTGTGTGTTCGTGTGTGTGGAACAGAGAGGGAGACAGATGGCCCTCCACGTCCTGTGGTTTATGACACCTTCTCCAGCCTGCTAGCCACACTACGCTACATTGTCCTCTCACACAAACGCCTGCCTGCACAAACACACAGAGCAGTATGTCATGCATCAGTGTCACCGCAGTAATTACAGGCTTATCACGTAGCCATAATCTTGAGCCACAGTGACGTGATAACAGCCAGCTTCATTGTCCGTGGTGTGCACTCGGTGTTTGTATGCTATGTAAGCACTAATACCAGTAACCCACACAGCTGAGCCAACTGTGTCACTTATTAGAGGAAGTAATCATTCAAATGGGATTACAAGACATTGATTGTTGCTATATAGTGTTTCATACGCCAAGTTAAAAATTCAATTTACAGCCAGTCATCATACTTGTATGAATACCAGCTCATAAAGCTGTGCTCATCTGTTGATGCCTGTTCTAATGATCTCATCTGACTTAGTCACTTGTGATCCAACGGCTATTCTGAACTCAAAGGATGCACACAACCAAAAATACATGGATGCATTTCGTAACATTTTCCTGGGATGACTCAGTGTTACGGATCAAAGGAAAACAATGAAAGCAAACCCTGAAACCATTTCATTCTTAGCACTTAACTGCAATGGAAACACATGACTCGAGTGTGTTGCTCTTTGCTAGTTACACAGTTTGTCTGTTTATACAGAGAAATGCAATATAGCAAAAAGGGTTGTCCTCACTGTTTGTCTATAAAGTCTGTAAAAAAGCCATATTGTATGTATACTTAAAACTAGTCATATCGAGAGCTGGATTTTCACAGTGAGTGAATCAGCCACATTCGAGCCAAATGCACATTTTGAGCTCAGTGTTTAGTAATGTGGACTGCACATAAACTGTGAGTGTGAGCTTTTGTGGGGGGGGGGTTGATAAAACAACATCTAAAAACACACAAAACACAGTCAAATGCTGACAGGCTCCCAACCAGCCAGAATGGTTTGCACTTGTTTAGGTGGAGCAGGCAAAACCCTGCACATCAGTCATTCTGTCACCGACAGACGCCCCAGGTTAAGTTCAATGCCTGGGAAGACACAGAAAGGGGGAGACACAACGCCAGTCGCCAAGAGAAAGAGGAGATAAGCATAGGGAGAGGGTGAACACAAACAGGAGCTAACTAATAGGAAGCATGATCGAAGTGGCTGTCATAAATAGAGAAATATGTAGAAATATAATGCTGCCAAACAGGCTCCTGAACATGGAGCATTTCCCCAGCAGCTCTGATTTGTTGGAGCTCTGCTCATTGAACAGATGCAGGTGTGGATGTGAGGGAAGGTCACACACTGCTCTATTACACCCAGCTGAAATTGGCTAAGGACGATGTTTCGGTTAAACAGCTGTCTTTCAGCACCACTTCACATGACATTTTAAGACTTTTATTCCAAACAGCAGCAAGAAAAATTACAGCTGAAACAAATCTTAGCTTTCACTGCATTCCTCAAGGATTAGGATAATACAGGACAAGTCATGACAGACACGATGTGAGACCCTAAAATGCCTTGCTCAGGGACCATGCAGGAATCAAATCTGTGATCTTGTACTACATTATCAAACAGTCTATTTTCTACTAATGCTGTGCCAAACCTGGTGCTTTCTATGAGAGCCAATACACAGTATTACTAGCAGAAGTTGGGTTACATCTGCCAAACATTGGTAAATTTGTTACAGCAGCCCCTCCCCACAAGCACTGACAACTTTGGGAGAAGCAATTTTGTGGTGCTGTGATTCTAAATTGGGCAATGGCACTGCACAGGTGAAAAAGGGGTGTAAGACACTTCGATCGATCAGGCTTGTTTTCAAAGTGTGGGACTCAGTCAAAAGAGTTTTGGGAAGATAAAATGGTTCTCTGAAGTACAGTAATAAGATTGCATGATACGTTGTGATCCCAAAGCTCTCCAAGTCTGCCCTAATTAAACGTTGTAAGCTCGCAGCTTGTCGTAATGAGCAACACACTGTATTTTTCCACATTAATCAGCGCAAATGACTCCATCATGTTTTGAGCGAGCGTGCACTTTCTCTTGTGCTTTACAAAAACGCAGGCCCTACTTTTTGTTCCTCCAAATTTCACTTCCTCCTCGCAGTACGGGTTTCTGAGCTGCCGACAGAATTAAAAGAACGTCAGCCAGTTCCCACTTTGTCAAAGTGTCTCGCTCTTCCATTTACTCGACCTCCTCCGATAAGCGAGACCAATTCTGCTGATGTATCCCTGTCTGCAGTCTCAAACTCACAGCCTCAACAACGTGCTTTCAATCAGCCCCGCTGGCTTTGGGCCCCTGCAGTAGATCATCTCTCCACATCACAGGGATTGAGGCGGCAAGATCTGCTAAAGCTTGCCTTCATAAAACATTTATTTTACCTCTTGACGGCAACACGCAAACACTCCTCAGCCTAAATTATTTCCACCTCGTCCTAGAACGTTCTCTTTTTGTACCAGTCACTGCCTCGACTCCTTGCCAAAAACCACACAGATCCAGTTGAGCAAAGTGCCATTTTATGTGTTAGGTTACTGCCAGGCTGATTTAAGCCATCCCCACAGAACTCACATTGGCTGTGTCCTTCAGGCTGCAGGACACTTCCTCTAACCACTGGACACTCCACGCCTCTGCTGAGCATTAATTCATTTACTCCACAGCAATAGCTCAGTCATGCTTGTTTAGCAACCAGCAAGGGAATTTGCTGTGCCCCACATTCATATTCTGCGTGTTGTTTGCCCTTTAGCACCTTGGGTTTGCTCGCCGAGAAATCCACTTGTCTGTTGTGTTTGGTCATTAACAGCTGCGACCACCTGTGTGGCCATTTTGCTGCAGCATTAGCCCATGTTTGGCTCACATGCACGTGTGTGGCGGGTACATGACCGCACTAATGCTACTACAACATTTGCGTAGCACTGCAGTTGGGAAGACAGAAGGTTATTAACATTAAATAAGACCTTCTCACGGACATTTTCTAAATTTGTCGCCTGGGTATCAGGGGTGCAAGTGAGGAATTCTCGCTCTTGTGTCCTTGCCAACTTTGGAAAAAAAAAAAAGTCCAGATGGGGAAGACAAAGGACGCTTTTGGTGACATGAGGAATCAGACAGGTTCTTGGCAAAGCTGCAAACACACCAATCTCAATGGAGTGTCCTCTAAACAATCAACTCTCAGTAGCAATAAGCTGGACCCAATGATAACAGCATGTCTGCTCCTCATTCCCTCTGTGAGCAGCAGCTCTGCACTTTGACTGCATGTTTATGGGTGTGCATTTGCGAACAAATATGTATGCGGTCATGAGTACAATTTGCATGTTGAGTGCATCTGTACTCAGCGTGTGTGTGTGTGTGTGTCTCTGATGACAGCAGGCTGATTAAGCTGTTGCATAGTAATGAGCTATGGCTGTCTGTCTGGCAGCTGCTCTGACAACCTCTTTTCACAACTAGCACTCCCACACACACACACACAGAAAAAGACAGAGAAATAAACGCGGGCATTTCAGTAACACACAGAAGAAACACTCATGAAAAGGCATCAAAGCTGACAAGAGCACTGAAGCATTGTTGTTTATGTTGTAGTTTAATCACTGGGAAAGTCACGCTAATGCAGGAGAGGATAATTATGATGCATTAAAGAGGGAGATCATGTAACAATGCACAGCTTCCCTATAGCCACAGCTAAACAGCTACACTTCCTCTCCTTCACTCTTTGTTGTGTTTTCCTCCTGATAATGAGTGTCACTGAGGAATAACAGCCATTTCCTGCTTCAAATCACTGATGTCAGGGGGAAGTAGCAGCCACAGGCACAGAGGGCAGCTGTGTGTGTGCGCGCACACACCTTCGTGCTGTGCATTTGTACGCTTGAGTACCTGTGAGCGAGGTCATGTGCATGCCTATAAGAGGTCTCTTACAAATATCTGCAGGGCAGTGAAATGGATGTGTGTGCTTAAGGAACAAGCTATCCCTCTTCCCTCAGTTCACTGAGGTCAGTGTCAGCTGGCAGGAACATGGAGACTAATGCACTGCTTAGAGGAGACGTGAAAGGGTGCAATTAGTAAATAAACATACTGACTTTACGGATCTTCCTTTCACAGAAAACACACCAAATTGAATAACACAAAAAAGAGGAAAAAAGAGGATACTTTGTTTATGTTTACTCTGAATTGTGTAGTAAGGGTTCAAAATCCACACAATTGTCAGTTAACATGGCCAGCCCCTCCATTCCCAAAGGACCCTACACCACCCCACCCCTCACACCCCCAGCGGGGCCCCACTAATGTAAAACACACCAAAGGTAATGTATATCCATCCTTACCTTGTTGATGTCCCCTTCCTGACATCACACATCATGCACTTAAAAGCCTCTGCCGTGTTCTTGTACGTGCACACGCTGCAGTCCCAGAACCCCTCGTCGGAGGAGGGCTTCGGTTGACGCTTCGGCCTTTTAAGACAATAAATTTAGAAAAAAAAGGAGGAAAAAAAGAGGAGAAAAAAAACGAAACGAAAAGAAAAGATGGGAGAGGAAAGGATCGAGAGGAGACAAGAGTGAGTTCGGGCACCACTCATCCACGAAGGCTATCGATAGCAAACATCAGTGTAAGCCTGTAGGATTTAGGAAATCATCTGCAAAGCGCGCTATGATCCGACACTGTAATTGGCGATGAGGTTTTAACACCCGCGCGCGCGCGCGCACACACACACACACAGCCTGCACGCGCACATACACACAAGCAGCGAGTGAGGCAACGAGAGAGAGAGGGAGGGAGAAGGGGAGGGGGGCCGTAAAGAAAACCCATTTTTTCCCCCGTGCGCTTGCCGATGTCCGTTCCCCTCCCCTAGCCCTGAATATCCAGCACGCACTAATTCGCTCGTTACCTTGTCGGACTCCTCTTGTCGCCCATGCCAGACCGGGGTTTATCTGGAGGTGCTGAGACGACCAGGAGCCTTGTTATTTCAATTTTTTTTAGCCGAGAAGCGATGCGCTTGTGCCGCTCGGCTTCCAGCTGTCGTGGAAACTCCGCTTGGGAAATGCTCACGTGACGGGCTGTGACCAATCACAGGCTGGGTTACTTCCCGTGGCTTGACATTCCTCTTGATGAATCAATGCCGCCTTCACGTTCCCTGCGTAAGCTCCCCCTTCTGTCGATTTAGAGTGCTAAATAATGATTCCATTTTGCTTTTCTATGACAGTAATGACTAAAAACCATACAAGTCTGCGCCTAAATCCATTATACAATATTTCACGTGCAGTCTTTCCCTCTAATGAAATGCTCTAACAAATTCACATTTTAGTAATTAAACCACACCTCCAATAAAAATGTTTCGAAAAGCACCCTATGTGCTCTTCATGACGCCATAATTTCCACATGTAGTTGTTTTTCAATTTTACCCGCTCTAAATTACGACACTTTCCGACAGCACCTAAATGCAACAAATCCCACTAATGTTCTGCGTCTGTAGCAATGCTGGATACCCCTCAAATAAGACTGTGCCGCGAATCCTTTCATATCCCTGCATCTTCGCGCAGACGGCATTAATGCCAAACCAGTTTGCCGCAGACGCATCAAACATGGGGGAAATCCCTCTTTGTATTTGCGTGCTGACGCAAGCAGGCATCAAAAAGATATTTCCACCAAGCGCCGCACCAGCGAGCGGTTCCAACATCTTTTTATATTCAAGGTATTTTATTGCAGCGGAAACCCACTCGGAGCATTTTATTTCCTACATTTACATATGCAACGTGTGGGTCACTGCAAGTGGTTTCCGCTTTTCTAAGCTTTAAAAAGAGCACACACACACACACACACACACACACACACACACACACACACACACACACACACACACACACACACACACATACAGTGTTAGTGTTAAAAGGTATCAGGTGCAAATAAGGAACTGGAAGTGCCGAATTTGCTGTTGTGCTCACACTCTCTCTTACTGGTCACTGGAAGGCTAACATGGCACATGATGGCAAAGAACTCTCTGAGGATCTGAAAAAATGAATTGATACTCTACATAAAGATGGCCAAGGCTATAAGATTATTGCCAACACACAGTGGTCAAGACCATACAGTTTAACAGCACAGTTTCCACTCAGAACAAACCTCAACATGGTCGACCAAAGAAGTTGAGTGCACATGCTCAGCGTCATATCCAAAGGTAGTCTTTTGAAAACAGATGTATGAGTGCTACCAGCATTGCTGCAGAGGCTGAAGGCGTGGAGGGTCAGCCTGTCAGTCCTCAGACCATACACACTGCATCAAATGGCTATCGTCCCAGAAGGAATCTTTTTCTAAAGAGAAGGCACAAGAAAGCCCACAAACAGTTTGCTGAAGACAAGACGACTAAGGACATGGATTATTTGTGGCCTTATGAGACCAAGACAAACTAAATATTATTCATATGGTGTCAAGGATGTGTGGCGGCAACCAGGTGAGGAGTACAAAGACATTCGTGTAATTTTTTTTTACATTTATGTTCATTAACATGCACTGTCCTAAATAAATAAATAAAGTGTGTCTTGCCTACAGTCAAACATGGTGGTGGAATGTCATTGTTTGGGGCTGCATGACTGCTGCTGGCACTGTGATATACTCCAGCAGAGCATGATCCCCTTCCTTCAGAAACTGGGCCACACGACAGTATTCCAACATGATAACAATCCCAAACACACCTCCAAAAAGACCAGTGCCTTGCTAAATAAACTGAGGGTAAAGGTATTTGACTGGCCTGGCATCTGTGGGGCACCCTCAAATGGAAGGTGGAGGAGCGCAAGGTCTCTAACCCATGATGTAATGAACTCCATGCCCCACAGATTTAAGGCAGTGTTGGAAGATAATGGTGGCCACTGAAAATATTGACACTTTGGGCACAATTTGGACATTTTCACCTAGGGGTGTACTCACTTTTGTGAGATACTCTGTATGTATATACATATACGTATATGTGTTTTTTTAAAATGTGTGAATATTGTGCTGAAATAAAATATTCATAATCACCTTTGAAATTTAATAGAAAACTGGCAGCATAAAAAAAGATCAGATTTTATCTACAACCAGCCAAAGCAGTACCCAAACTGTTTGGCTTTTTTTTTTTTTTATCTGATTTTGCACTTAAAACATTGAATTTTTTGTGTGTCAATTCTAACTTTATCAACATTTGATAAAGTTTGAAACATATTTTACACCTGCACAAAAAAAACAGCTCAAAAAATGTCCATATTTATCCAAATAAAACATTAAAGTCTATACATCCATTAGTCACTGAGCTCCTCCTCATCACTGAAGTATGCGCTCTTTTTGATCCGTGGCTTCTTGGAGTCTGACGACGTTGAAGCATGAGCATTATCCTCTGCCAGCCTCTTCTGTTTTTTCTGTTCTTCCTCAATACAGGCTTGCTGGAGGGCAACAAATAGACAACAAATATGTCAGTGGTGACAGTTTTTCATTCATTTTGAGTCAGACTTTCCATAATGTAACTTTGCAACTCATAATGCAATCCTCTGAATCAAAACCTCTAGATATTTTTAGGTAGATATTTCTTGTCTCTGCACCCTTACCTGAAAAGCTATGGCTTGGCTTAGGCTATCTAAAGCTGGATCTTCTCCCTCTTCCTCACTTTCTTCTTCTTCTTCTTCTTCGCTAAAAGTTAAAAAAATAAAAATAAATAAAAATGTAGATGTACTGTGATATATTCTGTTGCACAAATATATATGTCACAAATTACATACGTTTGCTCGGGCTGTTGAGCCTTTTTCTTCTTTTTCTTTTCTTTCTTCTTCGGAGGTTCCCTCTCTCCCAGCATGTTTTTGGGACATGCGTAGCTCAAATGTCCGGAATCCTGACATGTGCCATTGTGAAAATACAGGAAAACTATCACAATTGCATTTCTAACTTTAGTTAGAAATGTAGTTAGCCACACAGGACCCCCCCAAAAAAGTAGATATTTACTGACCCCACATTCGTAGCATCTACTTTTGTCTGTGTAGTTCCGTCTCCTTATAAATTCTGCTGCTCGTCCATTATCTATGGCAATACTGGCTTTAACCGTTCTGCCAAATAACTGGGAGGCAAAAATATTTCACTCGCTCGCATCCATTACAGAAACATCGCTGGCAGAAAGCCTCTGGGTTACGCTTAGTGAAAAATCAGTATATAACCTTGCACAGGCTCACCTGTTTGTTGTTCACTGCTTTTGCACAGTTATGAGCCGACTCTCTATCCAGGAAGAGAACAAACGCCACTCCTTTACTCTGCCGAGTGTTTTTATCCTTAACCACCGTGACCCTGAGAGAAACCATCATAGTTATTAATACCTGTGAGGAAACGACTGAGGCAGTAACTGTTACATCGCTTCAAAGCTACCAAATTATCGCATTGTGTTGCATCATTCATTGCTTTAAATGTATAAAATAACATAAAAAAATACTTACTTTACAACTTTGCCATATTTGCTGAATAGCTGAAATGACACAGTGATTTATTTCAGTGAGAGGTTCTTGGAATGCATAGAAAAACTGGTGTGCTAGGTAACATAAAAACATCTGGATGACAACGTTGGGGAATAATCATATGACCATTTCTATGATAAAGTAATACCTGTTTAACACATCTACACATCAGACATAGCATTATGTTTGCCTCCCTAATATTGCCTGGTCCTCCTTTTTTGCCAAAACAGCCATGGTGACCTATCAAGCCATGAACTCCACTAGATCCCTGAAGGCGTGCTGTGGTATCTAGCACCAAGATGTTAGCAACAGAACCTTTAAGTCCTGTAAGTTGCGAGGTGGAGCTTCCATGGATCAGATTTGTTTGTCCAGCAGATCCCACTTGACACTTGATTACATTGAGATCTGTGGAATTTGGAGGCCAACTCCTCAAAGCATTTCTTAACCATTTTTGCTTTATGGCAGAGCGCATTATCCTGCTGAAAGAGGCCACAGCTATGAAGGAATACAATTTCCATGAAAGGCTGCACATGATCTGCAACAATGCTTAGGTAGGTGTCAAAGGAACATCCACATGGATGGTAAGACCCAAGAGGTCCCAGCAGAAATCTCTGTCAGCTTGGCTTCTTTTCATAGTGCATCCTGATGCCAGGTGTTTCCCTGGTAACAAACAAAGACCAGACCATCTTCTTCCATTGCTCCATGGTCCAGTTCTGATGCTCACATCGCCATTGTTGGCGCTTTCTGTGATAAACAGGTCAGCCTGGACACCCTGACTGGTCTGGGGCTGTGCAGCCCCATAGGCAACAACGTGTGATGCTCTGTGTATTCTGACACAATTCAGAACCAGCATGAACTGTTTTGGCAGTTTGAGCTACAGCAGCTCATCTGTTAGGTCAGACCACACAGATCAGGCTTCACTTTTCACATCCATCAGTGAGCCTTGGCCACCCATGACCCCGTCACTGGTTCACCACTGTTCATCACTGTCCACCACTATCTTGAACTACTTTTGATAGAATATCCAAGTGTAGGATTCACTAGAGAATCTAATGAAGATGTTCCCAAACTAAAGCTCGGAATTCACAGCACGCTGTAAAACATGGGTGATGGCTGAGTATGCATGGCTTCCAGTAGCAATGGGTGACAGAAGATAGAAAGACCTGGATGAATTCTGAAGAGTACAGAGATAAACTTGACAAAGTGACATCCTCAAGCCCATGCCGAATTTGAGGATGGCACTTTGCACTAAATCTGAAATGTAACCCAAAATATAATGTGCATGCAATCCAGGAATTTTTGAAGACCGAATGATCTGCCTGAGCCAATCAATTAATCTCACCTGAGCATGTACTTTGCTGGCAACAAACCCAAATAGAAAGACCCTCGAACATATGACCGAAGAGAGAGGTGGGGTGTGCCACGAAGGAAGTTAAACTGAAAGCCAAGCTTTCTTTGCTTAAGCCTCTTGACAAAACCTAAAATCCCAGTCAGAGATCACAGGTGTCACAACTGTGGTTATTAACTTTCCCTGTTAAGTCATGCTTTCTGTTTCAGGCTTTTTATGTGCCCACATAAAAGGAGAGTTGATATATCATGTGGCTCATCTTCAGTTAATTTCAAATCCTTCATTTATAGACATTATCTGAGGAACAAGTGAGAAACTTCTATAAAGAAATTTAAAGAATAAAACTAGAAAAAGGCATCAGCTGTGTGCAAATAAGTCGAGAGCAAATGCTACA